GACAAAACGCTTTGTCACGCAGTGAGAGGTAGAGCCATGGCAAACAACAATCACCAGTTAATGGTCGCTTCTCACAAGTAAAACATTACACTCGCTGCTGATGATGAAAAGCTCAACGAAAACAGTGAAGACTTCTGTAGTACGATGATGAGAAAAAGCGAAACGACAGTTGAAAATGAAAACAATGCCTACACGAAACGAAAATCAATTATTTTATTCACGTGTTTCACTTATACATCAGCCTTATACATTCCATAAGACAAACCACATAGGTCCTATAAGAATGCATAAAAGGTATGTTTGACTGCTTACCCGAGCAAAGTCCAGCATCAAAATGACAGCAAATTGAAATCATGTTTTGATAGCAACATCAAACTGAAATCATAAATTGATTTCAGTTTACGCAATTGACAAATTTGATACCTAATTTTGTTTTCATTTTGCTGTACATTTACTTTTCAGAAATATGTTGTTGCGAGTTTGGTTTCATGGCCTTAGCATAACATCAAACTCAAAACTTGTTTTGTTATCAACAGGAAAAATGGATATCAAATTTAGTTTTCAGTTTGCTCTCACTGATAGCAGAAATAGTGTTCAATATGATGTCACAGGAAGATTTGTTTGCTCTCAATTGTGATATTTTAACCGTTAAAACGACCAAAACGACAGCAACCTAAGTAATCATTATCAGCGAAATCACAACATCAAATTTAGATTTCAATTTGATCTCAGACTTTGCTTGGGTATACATTTCATTTGACACATGATCTTCATTAACATTTTGCAAGGCGTCTGCTTATTAGGTGCCTTATAAATTTGATGAATAATCAGCAATTGAAATTTGCCAAAAGGTAGGTATAAGGAGATTTCTATCCGTGTACGCATTCCAAGCTTGTCTCGGCAGGTGGAACTGTGTGAGTTATAAACAAAGCAGCCATCATTAAACGGAAGCTCACCAACACGCTCACATAAGCAAGCAAAGTAGCAACTGCTTCAAAACGAGCACAGATGAGTGTCATGAATGTCGGGAATGACCAGATCGGTGATGGATCACCACAGATGACGAAATTCACCAGTTGCTTTTTATTTCTTTTGTCAACTTAATGGATGGTCATGGAGAGAGCTTCAACGAGCACATTGATAGGAATGTACAAAGCGTTACCACCATCAGCTGTTTGATGATGGTGATTGTGATAGGTCACAGCTCTGCTCCAGGCCCTTGCATCATTCCGGCGAACCCCTCGTGTTCCACTGCTATATCCGTCATGGACTGTAGGTACCGTTGGATATTGTTCACGAACGCTGGATAGCAGTCGGGTTCTGCCAGGCTCGGTCGCAGCTTGGCAGCTCTCGCAATGTCATTTCGTCATGCTCCTGATTGCTTTCACAGCCTGTTTCACTTCCGCTCGGTTCCTGACTCCGGTCATCCGAATACACTGAGCTATCGATGTTGTGCGGCTCATCGTGCTCACTATCCGAACTATCTGCGGCTCGCATGAACTTTCCATCTCGAGAATAGGGATATCTCCGTTTCTTATCGATTTTTTTTTCGCTATCGTAACCTGTAATTTACAAACAACGCAATGTTAAAACTTGCAAGCGATAAACAGAAACGGTTTGTAAATCGGTCAGGAGTTTTCATAGCATTTTCCGCGGTCTATGACGAGCGTAAAATCAAGCCTATACAATCGTTCCGATTCATAAGGTTGTCTAGTTTTCTCTTTTAGTTTAGCTAAATATTTGGTTTTTTAGTTAGGTAGGTTACGATCAGGCATGGAAAATCATTGGCATTCATTTCATACATTCATTAACATTCATTTGCCTCTAACTTTTGTCATCAACAGCATTTCACAAAATGATATATAGAGCTTTTGTAGGTTTTGTTATTAGCTACAACTTTTGCTCATAACTCAAATCTGTATCTTTTATGCATCACGAACTAGAGCGGGCAGAACTTGTTACTGTTTTTCAGTGAATGTAAAATACATTCACTGAAAAACAGTAGTGGCTTCTGTTCGCTCTTGTTCATCGTGCATCAGAGATACAGATTTGACTGGTTAACTAAAGTTGTAGCTAATAACAGTACCTATAAAAGCTACATACATCATTTTGTGGAATGCTGTTGATGACAAAAGTTAGAGGCAAATGAATGTAAATGAATGTATGAAATGAATGCAAATGATTGTCCATGCCTGGTTACCATTCTACACATTGTAGTTTCATTTTTATACCATAGATCTTGACATTTTTACCTAGGGGATGAGTACTTACGGGGGTTAGTTATTTAATGGGAATGAAACTGATGAAGACTGCACATTGTAGTCGAAATACAAATCGCTTGTTTATGGTGTATTTTGCAAAACTTGTCGTCGTCGGTGCCGGGTTGGAATGGTTACAGCAACTCGAGTAACGGTAGATGATATATGAGGGGCTCGATGACCTTAGATTGACCGTTTTTGGCTACTGAGCAGAACATCATGAGTCTTATATCAGACCCATCCACATTCAAGATTCGCCAATTGCTTTATTTGTTAATATAACTACATGGTAAAAACAACATCTCGACGATTAAAAAGGAGCTCGATTGCATAGTGCCTGAGCAGAAGACCGTGGGTTCAATCCCAAGATTCTTCGCCTTATATGATCATTAGGACATCAATGCAGCTTATCGTTTACCAAAACGAACCCTACTGCACATCCAAAAAATCTTACCCAACATCCCAGTGATTTCTCGTGGAAGTGCAGAGGACTCCTCGGCTTCCATCGGAGCGAGTGTCACGTTAACACATTCCTACCCATTCATTTTTAGACCTGCGTTTGAGAACAACCGGAGCTGGTATTACTTAGTTTGAGATCACCAGTTTTTACACATTGAGGATGGTTGCTGGTCTCAATCATCGTCTATTGATTCTCTGTGTAATTACAGCTGATCAATAACAGAGTAGCAACCGTGGGTGGTCAATCATGCTCATGCTGATACTCAAATCTGGTTAATGCTCTTTGCTTTGAAGTAAACAATTATAAACCGTTATCGTTTTTAAACTTTGGAACAGGTCAAATCTATAAGACACCTTTCAACTAAGATTACTCGAAGAGATACTTCAAATTATATATGCAATAACATCGGTTAAATGTAGGCTTTAGCGGTTGTACCTTATGGCCTTCCAACGACGGTTTGCAACTAGGACCCAACAACGGTCTATGCGCTCAATCCAACTGCCATACAAACGCCAGAAACATCATGTACTTAGCTTACCATTCAGCCTATGGCCTTGATGTCCTCTGCTGTCCGAAGAAGTCGTCTCCACTCTACTCGATCCATGGTCACACTTCACCAGCCTCGTAGTCTGCGAAGGGTCCGCAGGTCTCCTTCTACTTGGTCGATCCACCTTGCCCGCTGCGCGTCTCTTCTTCTTGTTCCTGTTGGGTCGCTTTCTAGAACCATTTTCACTGGGTCGTCATGCGGCATTCTTACGACGTGCCCAGCCCACCGTAGTCGCCCAATTTTTGCAATGTGGACGATGGATGGTTCTCCCAACAGCTGGTGCAATTCGTGGTTCATTCGCCTCCTCCACGTTCCGTCATCCATCTGCACTCCACCGTAAAATGAACGCAACAACTTCCGTTCGAAAACACCAAGGGCGCGTTAGTCCTCGACGAGCATAGTCCAGGTCTCGTGGCCGTAGAGTACCGTCGGTATATTAACCCTTGTAGATAGTCAACTTCGTGCGGCGGCGAATTTTATTCGACCGGAGCGTCCTCCGGAGTTCAAAGTAGGCACGATTCCCTGCCATAATGCGTCTTTGAATTTCTCTGCTGGAATATTTTTCGGTGGTCACCACTGATTCCAAATACACGAAGTCATCGACCATCTCGATTTCGAAACCGTCAATCTGAACTCGGGGTGGGAGGCTTACATTGTCTTCCCTAGAACCTCTTCCTCTGATGTATTTCGTCTTCGACGCGTTGATGGCAAGTCCAATCCGCCAGCTACAGCGTTCAGTCTGATGTACGTTTCCGCCATCGTCTCAAAGTTCCGTGCCATGATGTCGATGTTATCGGCGAAGCCAAGAAGCTGGATGGACGTCCTGAAGATCGTGCCACTCTGCCGATCACACCTTCTAACGCGATGTTGAATAGCAGACACGAAAGTCCATCACCTTGCCGTAACCCCCTTCGAAATTCAAAGGGACTCGAGAGTGTCCCCGATACTCGAACGACGCTCCATCGGCACCTTAACCAATAGCGTCAGTTTATCCGGATATTTGTACCCGTGCATAATCTGCCATAGCTGATCTCGATAGATTGTGTCGTATGCGGATTTGGAATCGATTATTGGAGTGGCCGCAATGGCATTGGAAAAAGAACTCGGATCGGGAAGTAATAAAACACGTGTGTACTGAACGTGAACAACAAAAGGAATGACAGTTTTATTCAGCGGAAGTAATACAGATGATAACAAACATATGTATCATGGTTTCTCTCTAGTTGATGAAGTTGTCGCCGCTTGGGGGGCTCAACACTCCTCCTCAACTTCAACAGACTTTACTCCGATAGCCGCCCGAAGTTTCCCTAGCTTCACTGCTGCCAGCAGCTTAGTCAGGATGTCCGCCTCCATAAGTTCTGTAGGGCAGTACTTGATGGACACGACACCGTTTGCCACAAGATCCTTCACGAAGCAGTATTTGGTGTCAATGTGCTTCGACTTTCGTGAAGCGCGTTCCGTAGCAGTGAGAGCAATGCAGCTCTGGTTATCCTCATGAACTGCAATGGGATACGCCATGGACACACCCAGATCAGCCATTAGCTTGCGCAGCCACTGTAACTCCTGCAGACAGTCAGCCAAAGCGATATACTCAGCCTCGGTGCTGGACAGCGCCACGCTGGTTTGCTTTCGGCAACCCCAAGCAACACACATGTTCTTTAACAGTTTATATAACCTTTGTTTGACTGGTTTTGGTTCTATAGCAGTTTACTCAACAGAATTTTATGAATTTGTGTTACTTGGGACACCATTGTATGAGTCCACCACCAAACTTGAACAGAAAGCCAGTATTGGATTTTCGGTCCGTCACTTCACCCGCCCAATCGGCATCTACGAAACATTCCAGCTTCAGTTCCTCGTTAGCACCTAGGTATAACTCGTGGTTGATTGTCCCCTTCAAATACCGAAGCACCTTTTTGGCCTCGATCCAGTCGGCCTTCCCTGGTTTGGATACACGCCGCCCAAGGACAGAAGTAGCGATTGAAATGTCCGGACGACTGTTTATGGCAACATACAACAACGCACCGATTAGGCTTTGGAATTTATCCTTCTCCGCAGGCTCATCGCTCTCCTCCTGCTGTTGTTGTAGGTAACCACTCGCCATCGGGACCCGTGATGTGTTAGCCTTCTCCATTCCAAATCGTATGAGTGTTTTTGATATGTACGATTTCTGGTTGAGAACATACGCACCGGCTTGTTTTCGGACCTGAATCCCCAAGAAGCACGAAAGTTCTCCCAACTCGGTGATTTTGAAGTTCCGCGCCAACACCTCGACCACTGCTTGGTATTCCTGCTCCGTGTTGCAGGTGATGATGAGATCGTCTACGTATAGTAGCACATACACGTAGCGACCGTTGATCTGCTTCATATAGAGACATGGATCCGCTTTCGACTGTTGGAATCCAATCTCCTTCAGAACTATGTATGTATGTATATGTATGTATGTATATACAATCCAACTTCCACTGTCCGGCAGTGTTTTTATGGAAGAAAAATGTTTGCAATATAATCTATCATTATTATACTTATCTCATTGCAAACAATTTTAACCCGGAAGTTGAAAGGTGATAGCTCTGTTGAGATTCAGTAACCCATTTCAGAATGTCTGGTCACTCACGTCCATTCCGAGGTTACTTTCACTTACAACAAGCCCCGCATACACGTAGTACCGATATAAAATGTATATTGGTACTGCGTGTACACTTCCATCATCAAAGCAATTCCTGCTTTGTAGATGGCACGTATTTAGTAGGATGAATTTCATATTTTTATATCTAGTTGTAATCAGTTAGATCTCACCGCTTATGTATTGTGTCCTCGACGTGGAAGCATCGTAGTCTAATCTGCAAATTCATCTTTCCCGGTTTTTGTCCAGGGGCAGAACGCCAATGCTTCCGGAAGTGGAGGCGTAGCACCGGAACACACTAGCACGACGCTACAGCAACACAACTATTCAAACAAAATTCTAGCCCGGGAATTTTCACAATAATTCACAATATTAAAACACTGATAAATTAATCATAATGAATCTATATACACATGATAATAATAAAAACGAATTACTTTTTGCCTTAGTACAAGCCAAAAAGCACGCGGAAAATACGGAATTTGTGACAGCGAAATTAAAACCGACCGTTTGCGGGCAGAGCCTACTGCGCCAACTCAATCCAATCTCCTTCAGAACTGCATCGATTTTTCGGTTCCATACGCGGGCAGCCTGTTTTAGCCCATACAAGCTGCGTTTGAGACGGCATACCCTGGTTGGATCCTCGGTCTCGAACCCAGGAGGCTGTTTCATGAATATCTCCTCCTGTAATTCGCCATAGAGATATGCTGTTTTAATGTCGACGTGCCTTGCCAACATTTTCCGGCTGCTAGCCACTGTGAGAACCGCACGGAAGGTGGTTTGTTTTACCACTGGTGCAAAAACCTGGTCGTACTCGCTGCCAAACTTCTGGCAAAACCCTTGAGCGACGAACCGGGCTTTGAAACGAACGACGTCCCCGTCGGCGCTTTCCTTGCGCTTGTACACCCATCTTGACCCGATGGCCCTACTACCTGTAGGCAACTCGACGACGTCCCAGGTACCGTTCTCCAGTAATGAAGCCATTTCTTCCGCCATAGCCGCCTTCCACTTATAATTCTCAGGACTAGCCATCGCTTCTGCATTATTTCGCGGTTCACACGCCACCTCTGCAGCTAATCCAATTGTATCTCGATATCTTTCCGGTGGTACTCCGATGTTCGTTCTGGCAGAACGTCGCAAGCCGCAAGGAACTTCACCTAACTCTTCCTGTCCTGATTCGTTATCAACGCCTAGAAAACGACCATCGCCGCCTTCGTCCGAGCCGTCATCACATCCGAAAAATTCTTCTTCCGACTCGATGCTTTGGTTTCGCACGTCATCTCCCAGTTCATCCAAAGGAACCGCGTTATTGGGCGTACTTCCTACCTGTACGAACATCTCTTTGTCCACACCTCGTTTGATTGCCTCCGACTGGCCGCAGGTAGCATCATGTGGCTTCGCTTCGTTGAACTCTAAAAACTGAACATCTCGGCTCACTACAATCCGGCCGGTACACACATCCAGTAGCCGGTAAGCCTTATGCTCGGAAGAGTATCCGACGAAGGTGAGTTTTTCAGCTTTAACCTCGAACTTCTTTCGTTTCTGATGGGGAATCCAGGCGTACGCAGCACATCCGAAGATCTTCATGCCCTTCAGGTCCGGCTTCCTGCCGAACCAAAGCTCGAACGGAGTTTTGTCGACAGCAGCGGACGGCAACCTATTTTGAATGTAGGCGGCCGTATTCACCGCCTCTGCCCAGAAGCGTTTGGGCAGCCCTGCATCGAGTAGCATACACAAACCCATTTCGTTGAGGGTCCTGTTTCGCCGCTCTGCCACCCCATTCTGTTGAGGAGCATACCCAGCGGTGTACTCAGGCTTTATTCCCTCCTCGGCAGAAAATTTACGGATACTGTTACTGATGTACTCACCTCCTCTGTCCGAGCGTATGGTCTTCGGCTTCTTACCTAGCTGGTTCTGGGTGAATCGGACGTAGTCACGAATCCTACCTTCAACCTCCAATTTTTCCTTGAGAAAATACACCATAGTGTACCTACTATGGTCGTCGATCAACGTCATATAGTACCTACAGCCGCCCGGAGTCTCCGTCATCGTACGCAGACGTCGCTGTGTACTATATCGAGCACCTCCTTTGACGTTTTCTTAGCTACCTGTGAAAAAGACGGCCTAGCCATCTTTGCCTTGACGCAGCACTCGCACGTCGCCCGGATTCCGCATTCACTGACGCACATTCCAGACACCAGACCCTTAAGCACCGCTTCCTTGATGGCTTCCAGATTCTTGTGGCCGAGCCGGCGATGCCACGTATGTTGGCATTTATCGGTGTGTCCTTTGTCACTCACTAACAACGAACGCTCACTGGCCAGATTCAACCGATACAGGCCACCTATTTTGTCCGCGACCGCCACGACTTTCTGTCCGTACATCAATTGGCACTGTTCCCCGTCGAACTCAGCACGCACGCCCTTGTTCGAAAGTTTTGCCACCGACACGAGATTGCTTTCGAGCTCCGGTGCAAAAATCACTTCCGTGAGCGTTACCAAAACGTTTTCGCCGCGATCGTTCACGCACTGTATGGTACAATCCCCGATGCCTTCTGTGCGAAGCATTTTTCCATCCGCCGCCGAAATAGTCGGTTGCGCACTTTTGTCCATCCGAACGAACAAATTTCTGTCGTTGGCCAATTCGACGTCGCACCGGAATCAATCAACCACGCACTCGCACCGAAATCACCCGACCGTACCATAAACGTAAACGACTCTGGGTCGTCTTCGCGCACTGTTTTTACTTTTTCTTTGCTCTTCTTCTTCGGATTTTTCTCCTCACTATTCTTCGCCGCAATGAACGCTCTGCAGTTCCGTTTGCGGTGTCCTTGCTTACCGCAATAGTAGCACGAAACATCAACAGATTTTTGCTGCTGCTGGCTGGATCCAACTCGTAGCGCCTGCTCCTCCGTTTCACCTTTCTGCTTTTCCGCCTCGTCGACGAGCTTCACTTTAACCAACTCAAGTGTGAGGTCATCTTCGTCCCGTGCCTCCAACGCTGTTGTCAACGGATTGAACGCGTCCGGAAGGCCACGAAGGATCAGCGCCACTTTAAAGCATTCGGTCATCTCGAAGCCCGAATTCTGGAGACGAGCGTAATGCTTCTCGATGCCGGCAAGATAACTTTCCATATCATCACCCACTCGGTAATTTGTAACCAGTTGGTTACAATCCGTGGATTTTCGTTTGTATTAGTTGTTGTTGTTTGGAAAATTCACGTATTTTAATTTAAAAGACAGAAGGCAACACACAGCAGCGAGAGGGTTAGTACCGCTGCAAAAACACTCGAACGATACTAAAGGGAGGACAATTAAGCTAAAAATGGAGAATGATCGGCAAAAGGCATGCGAGTGGCCATGTTGTAAAAGAAAAAACCTTCTAATTGGCAGAAGTAACCAGGCGTCCGTGTAGACCAGTTGAGTGTTAAGTGTAGTGCATATTTAATACAACACCCCCCCCCCCCCCCTTGTGGGGTTTGGGCTAGAAAGCCTACCTCCGTTCAGGTAATTGATTTTTATTATCCTGACGGAAATTTCCCTGACTGAATTTAATAATTCTCAGGACCTCTTGTGCTTTTGTACAACATGTACACCTCGTACCGTAAGCAAAACGGTTTTACACGGCTCGGCTCGGAAGTCAAGATGGCTTCCGAGCCTAATAGTAAATGATCCTCGATCGTCCGTCAGGGACGATTCCCTCAGGCCGGTGACCTTAATTGCCAAGGAGGGTCCCGTCTCGGCTCGACCAAGGTGGCCATGCCACGGTCAGCCGATTTTGTCAACGACGGAAGACGCCTGCCAGCCAAACGAGCCAGCAACGCCTGCTGAGCCGTATGTGGCTGATGAACGCCACCAGATCCGCCATTCTCCCAAAGCGGCAACTACACTGTCTGCAGCCCGCGCCGCAAGTTTCCGGCCACACGGTAGTGCAGGAGCAGCCGTGTGGGCCAACGCCAGCGTCGCGACGCTGAAGGAGAATCTGCTGCAACAGTGAGTACCGTACCGTTAACTCTCGCATACACGCCACATTCATGTGAAAACCCACACCCACACGCCACAGAAAAGGGCAAATAAATATGTTAGAAAATGTGAAGATTCCTGTGTTTCATACTTTGTCCGCGTAGCCCCTCCGAATACCCAGTAACATGCCGGCCCTGCGACACAGTTCAGGGGTCTCATGCTACTGAGCTAGTTACCCGGGAGTGTCTGGTAATGCCATAGTCACAAATTTTGGTTGGTGATTTGCTTGAGCAGCGTCACTTTCTGCCCCAGAGACGTTTTGTTGTGGTGCAGCTTGAGTGCATCCCACGTCTCTTTCGCTGTTGCTTTGTCGCGGATCAAATTGTACTGACTCTCGTCCACCAACAGCTGAATGGTGGCGAGCGTCTTTTCGTCGCCCTCTCTCCATGCACCGGTCACTGGATTCGGTGCGACTCCCGGGTCGACGTATTTCCACAGCTGCTCTCGCCGGAGCAGTGCCGTGACGGAGAAGGACCACGCCGGGTAATTAGAGTTATTCAGCTTGACAACTCTTGCCCACTCCATTCCGCGAGAAAGTTCTGGAAAAACACTACCGTTTTCTCACTCGCGACTTTCATGGAAATAATAATCCGACTCGAACTAAAGCAACCGAAAAACGATCCCGAACACTTCCCGCTAACGATCCGTAACGAAACCAACTGGGCCCATAACCTGTTGGAGTGGCCGCAATGGCATTGGAAAAAGAACTCGGATCAGGAAG